GCCCAGGTAAAAATAAAATAAAATAAAGTAGAAAGACAGTAAGCTCTGATGGAGTCAGTTTTTTTTTTTTTAAGGAGATTATATCAATGGAAAGAAAGGTGTTTCCCTTTATTGTTATGGTGTTGAAATGAAAAGAAAGTGTGGCTGTATGAATGCCAAGAGAAAAGATTGTTTGAAGAGCACAAAAGAGATTTCCAGTAGGACAAGAATTTAAAAATGGTAATTGAAATAATAATACAAGATGATGTTATGAATAAATAGAAGAATAAGACAAACCAGTGAGAGGGATATTCCCGTATTGCCAAAGCAGAAGCAGAGGACAAAGGGCATAGATGTCTTTGCTTTGTGGGTTTGGTGATGGTGAATTTAAATTTAAGTCTGGCTCCTATTTCCTTTCTGAAGCAGGAGGTAATATTTTTCAAAGTGGAGAGGTTGAAAATAGAGAGTTTAAGACCATTTAAGATTGGAAAAAAATTGATGCATAAGAATTTTTAGCCTAAAAATATTACTTTTCCTTTCCTACCAGTCAATTCTTGTAACTCTCTATTTGTTCTCATAATTTTGTTTATAGAACCAAATTATCTATTCATTGTTCCCTGACTTGAGTGGAACTTACCCCAGCCTTGATAACCTAGCCTATCTCGGTCATCACATCGACAATTTTCTCATCTTCTCTTCCATTGGTCTCAGGTTCTACCTAGTGATACAATTCTTGTCTTACCTCTTCACCAGTCTTTCTTTGGTAGTGGTGCACTGATAAATGTTTAACAACCACCTCTCAAGGCAAAACCAGAAACAAAAACAAGCCTTGATTTGTGGTACTTGCTGATTACTATGTTGCAAATCCACTCACCCTGATTGATTTTAAGCTACCAACAGAGGCAACTGACTTGCAGAATTCATGAAAATGTAACAGTCAGCTCTCTGGCAAATACTGTGAAAGATCTAAGATTTTTATCCTGCTGGAAAGTTAACAAGCCAGGCTACTGCCTCACTGATGAAAACAGCCTAAGGGTTCCAGGCAGGAGAGATGAGGCCAGGATGACAGAATGCTTTGGATGAATATCAGCTGAAATGCAATAGATTTTGTTGTTGTTGATTTACACTTTTACATTGGGACTGGTTCTAGAATTAATAATTATTTATCATTGTTGTTTCTGGGCCTCTCTAAGCATATTCCTGCTTTAGGACCTTTGCATCTTTTTCAACTCTGCCTGAAAAACTTCCCTAAAATCTTTTGGCACATTCTCTCAGTTCATTATAGTCAGATGTTAGTTCCTCAAAGAGGATTTCTCGGAATATTCTGTCTAAAATAGACTCCCTCCCACCTCACATCATCTCCTCTAATTGCTGCTCTGGTTTGTCTCACATGTTATGACATGTTTATATTTATGATCACTGTCCAAAATATTTTCTCAGTCCCATTGTAATGTATTACTTTATGTAGGTTATTTATAGTATATTTTATAATTTCTACACACATAAGGATTTTCTAGCTATCATTTTTTCTTTTCTTTTATGACTTATTTATTTTAAGCCTTTTATTTTGAAATAATTATAGATTTACAAGCAGTTGCAAAGAAATATACAGAAGGTTCCTGTGTCCCCTTCAACTGTCATCCTTCAATATTTTACAAACATCATACATAAGTATATTATAATAATATCATAAAATTTATATTGGTGCAAGCCATAGAGCTTATTCATATGTCACCAATAATAACATGCAGCTGTTTGTGTGTGTGTTTAGCTCTATGAAATTTTATTATATGTGTAGTTTTGTGTAACCACCACTACAATCAAGATATTTAACTCTACCATCACTGTAACATTTCCTGATATTACTCCTCCTCCATCGCTAGCCCTAGGCAACTGCTAATCTGTTCTCTAGCTCTATAATTATGTTATCTCATGAATATAAATGAAATCGTATAATATGTATCCTTTTGAGACTAGCTGTTTTTTCACTCAGCATAATTAATATGGAGTTTCCCCAAGTTGTTGCCTGTATCAGTAGTCTGTCCCTTTTCTTTGCAGGATTCTATTCTGTGGTATAGATGTACCACGATTTATTTACCAATTCACCCACTTGGGTAGTGTGCAGGTTTTGACTATTATAGATAAAACTACTAAGAATATTCATGTACAAGTTTCTGAATGAAAATAATTTTTCTCTGGGATGCATGTTCAACAGTGTAGTTGCTGAGTCATATTGGTAAGTCCATCTTTAGTTTTGAAAAGAACTGACAAACCATTTTCCAGGGTAGCTGTATATTGTTTTACATTCTAACCAGCAATGTATGAGTGACTCAGTTTCTCCACATCCTTGCCAGTATTTGGTGTTGAAACTATTTTTTATTTTAGCCACTCTGATAGACTTGTAAATATCTCAGTGTGGTTTTAATTTCCCCTATGCACTTCTCTTATTGCTGGGTAGGTCTGGCATGTGGCACAAGTTGTGACTCACTGTTTAGTCTCCTCTGACATCATCCCAGTGGAGAAGAGAAAAGGTAGCTCATTATTACTGGGTTGGGGTGGAAGTCCAGGCACCCCCACATAGTCTCCAAAAGACCTGTGATGGTGGAGGTGGAACGGGGGGATGGTGCTTGATTCCAATTAGTGGAGATGAAAGTCCTGAATCCTTACTTGTTTACTCTGATACCACCTCATAAGGAAATTTGAGGTGCCTCATTACAGTGTACCAAGGGTAGATATAGTCTCTAGGCTTCTCATGCAGTCTTTGTGGGGCCAGTTTGTGTGTGTGTGTGTGTGTGTGTGTGTGTGTGTGTGTGTGTGTGTGGCTGGAGTAACCATGTCATTGTCTAAATGTATTTTTCTTGTCTAGGGTTTATGTGTCCAGCGTTTTCTGTTGTGCCTAGGGGAAGGATTAAGGAAAAGTACATGTATTCCGTCTTCCCAAAAGTAAAGGTTGAGAGCATTCAATTTTATGCTTGCTTCTGAATTTTCAATTCTTATATATCTTCATGCTTCATTCGAGATTGTATTTTTCTGAATTTGTTTCACTAATTCTTTCTTCAGCCTTATCAAATCTGCTTTTAAATTGAACCAGGGAATTCAGAATTGCAGTTACAGCCGTTTTTGGTTTGTAGATTTCTAACTGGCTTCTTTTCAAACTGTGGTATTAATTTTCATAACTTTTAGTTCTGAAATTGAAAACTTTGGTATTATAAACATGATTGATTTATAAACATTTAAGCATAGTTTCAAACGCAGCTCACAGCAGGGTGGTGTAGACCTTCACAGGGTTGTGTGGAAGCACCTGGGCTCCTCTGTCCCTCTTCAGAGCCATACAGTGGCTGCAGGCATAGTTGTTGTTCTCCTGTGTCTATACTCTCAGAATGGAATCTGGCTTAAGCTGGTCTAGAATCGCATGACTATGATATTCCCTGTTCTGGAATAATGTCTCCATGCAGTTCCACATATTAGGCCCAAGACCTATGTGGGTCAGGGGGTTCTCTTGTGGCCAAGATCCTAAAAGCTTGTCTTGGCAAGTGATGCCCTGGAGGCTTCACTCTTACTGTTTCACCATGTTCCAGAAGCTTTTCCCAGCTGTTAGCCAGCCTGCAATCAGACAAGTTCCTCTGAACCCTCTCCTTACTCACTTTTGGTGCTTCCAGTTGCTTCTCTAATGAATCTTAGCATTCTCTCCTAGATGATGTTTGAAAAATGACAATCTGCTTACTATTCTGGCTCCTCTCCATGGAGGAGGCACAGAGGCATATACTGCCTGTGTCTAGTTGGCCATCTTGATCTTCTCTCCCAGAAGTCTAAACTGAATGAAGTTTACACTGAATGAATTTACTAATTTCAGTCAAGATTTTCTGGTTTGTAAAAAGAAAAATTGAATTAGATGATTTCCAGTCTCTAAACTAACTCTATAATTATTTATGTCTACAAGTTAAAGGAGGCAGTTTTTATATCTGTGTTTATAGAATTGTGGCCTTTTTGATCAGCATTTTAAATTTCTAATAAATACCAATTTGCAGGAAATACAGGGGACATAAAAACTTGTTAAATATAGCAGAGAGAGGTTGTCAACAATGTGGAAACTATATAAGAAAAATATTTGATTTCTACATAAATAATTGCAGGAATAAAAAAAGGAGAGAGAACACATAGATTAAAAGAGAATTTAAGGATAGTCATTTAAATTCTGTGTATGGATCTTGTTATATCATTACTCTAAACAATTTTTAGAAACAGAAAAAACATGAAAAATGAAAGAAATGTGAACATAAACTATATCTTCAGTGATGTAAAGATATTATCATAAACTATATGCTCAGGTAATATGAAGACATTATCATTAATATTAATTACAATATTGGTGTTGTGACTATGTTTAAAAATTCTTGAAATATTTGCAAATATAATAATATGATATCCAAGATTTGCTTAACCATGATCAAGGGTAGGTTAGACAGGGCAATGGTAAGGTGTATGGAATTCGGATTGTCCACAAGTTGATCATTGTTGAAATTGGCTGATGGGCACATAGAAGTCCATTACACTTTTCTCTCTACCATTAAAATGTTTAAAAATGGAACTTACAAAAGGTCAAGAAGAGATGGTAGTAAAGTTAAACTTTTAACATATGAAATGAAAACATTGTAGGTTCCAGAATTCTCACAAGGCTTTGAACCCACGGCTGCAATGGCCAATGCTAAATTTTCTAGTAGTCAGGCCAGGCATCTATTTAAGTCACCAGCAAAGCAGGGGATCAAAGATCTCTCTTTAATGAAGATCTCTATATTTGGTGTTTCTGAATGGGATCGTGGTGATCCTAATCGGAAAAAGAGTACCTTGTTGGATTTCCTTACATTTTTAACGTAATTTGGTATTGATTGTATGTATCTGTCATATATTTTATATCTGAAATTTATTCTGACACTATCAGTTCTTGAATTGACAATTTTTAGCAACAGTACATATAAACTAATTTTGATTTCTGATATTTAAATATTTTTCTTTCTAATTAGGTTTCAAAATACTGTTAATTACTATGCCCGAAAACAAGAAAATTTCTCCTACTCCTGCTCGAGGTGATCAAAGCAAGATAGGTAAGTTTATCCTAAATTGATTTTCTTTGAAAATAGATCATAGGTAAATGGAATACAAACCACTCACAGAGGAAGGCAGCAGGAAAGATAGCAAACTTGTCCATGATCATAGGTCACAAAACCAAAACATTTTGGGACCAGGAAAGTGAGGTAAGTGAAAGGAGCAAGTCAGTTTAAGGAAAATCTATTGTTGGAATTATAATCAATTTCTTTTATAATTACTACTGAACTACAGTATGGACAGTAAATAGGTAAGTAGTACAACAATGGTGTGCTAGGTCAGCTCTTATTGGCTTGTGGAAGCCAGGTATACACATCTCTTCTCATTTCCACTCCATTGGTAGCTTGCAGTTGTCCATGACAGTAGTATTTATTACCAACCAACAGCTGCTTTATTAAACTCCTAGTAGCACATCATTGAAAGACAAACATGCAGAATTAAAAATGAAAATGCTACCATAATTCTTTTTTAAAAATTGCATTAGATTTTATTGCATTACCTTGTTCTATTGATTTGCACCCTGAGTTCCTGCATATTTTATTCTATATTATGTTAGCGATGCTGTATCTTTGCATGATGAACAGAGGTTAGCAAATTACAGACCATGGTCCAAATCTGGATAGCAAGATTTTTTTATAGCCCCAAAGTTAAGAATGGTTTTTACATTTGTAAAGGATTGTAAAAAGAATAGAAAACGAAACAAAACAATGAGGACTATGCAACAGAAACTGCGTTTGGCCCACAAAACCTGGAAGTTTTACTATCTAGTTCTTTACAGAAAAAATTTGCCAACCCTGGTATAGAATTTAACTTGATTATTTTAACTGAGAATAATAGGTAGTCTTTGTATCAGTTACCCACAGCAGCATTGATGCTATGTAGCAATCAACCACAAAAAAAAAAAAAAAATGCAGGTGCATATAGCATCATAAGTATTCATTTTAGCTCACTTGTCTATGAGTGGTTCTGCGGATCTCAGGTGGGCTCAGTACAGCTCACCCATGTGTCTGCAGTAAGCCACAGGTTAATTTAACTAAGCACTATCATTGATATTGCTCATTTTGGCTGGGCTCTTTCACATGTGACAGGGCGTTGGCTGGGAAAATTAGGCCTATTCAGCTGTGCAGCATTTTGTCTCTCATATTCCAGAAGGCTGCTGGGGCTGAGCTTATGGCTTTGGGAGGGTTTCAGTAGTGGGGACAGAAGCAAACAATGCCTCTTCAGGCCAATGCTCAGAACTGGCACTCGGTGATTTCTGCCACATTTTATTGACCAAAGCAAGTAACAGGACAAGCCCAGAGTCTAGAGTTAGATATTAGATTCCATCTTTTGATGGAAGATGCTGCAAAGTCACATTGCAAAGGAAGGTGAATACTGAGAGGAAAAAATTATTGGAGCTATTACTGCAATTGAATTACCACAGTTTTCTTCAGGGTTATTAAAGAAAGCAGTCATTTAGTAATTTCAAACATGGATGAAGTCACGGCACAGTGGATTTTATATAATATTACTAACCTTGGATATAATTTTACTCAAATATCACCACACTTATTTTCTGAATATTTGAAAAACTTTGTTTTTTAGCTCTTTAATCCCTGTACCAATATTAATTGAAAAAAAATGTTATTTCATTTTCATGGAGTTTGTGCAGTAATATTTAAATAGAAAGTTTTTGTTTCTGGAAACTGATCCTCATTTCAGACTAGCAAAATGGATTAGGTTATTCATTTAAAACAATTTTACCAAAGACACAATTTGGAACAAGGTAGGATAATCAAGCATACTGGTACATAACTCATGTTGAAATAATTGAAAGAATTACTGAAAGTTTTTGGATTGATTATAATGTGAATTAAAAAGACTAAGAATTTGTTCCAAGACTTTGGAGAAATGTGTTGGTGATTTCTCTTTGAATGACTTGACAAAATCAAGTATGTTATATTGAAACAGGAAATGACCAGTCTACATGGTTTGCAAGCAAAAACTAGAAAGTTAATCAGATTAAAATAATTTAGGCCACCCACCCTCATTCTATGCAATAGAAAACCCTACATATCACATGATTCGGTGTAATGTAAGTGTTCTGTAATACAGATTATTTCTGCAAAATGCATAAGAAATGGAAAAGTCTGGTTGGCTAACTCTTTGGAAAATAATATAGTTAAAAAATTGTCTTTTAATATGTGTTTGGTTTTGTATGTGAATATTTTAATGTAAAAAAGAATTAAATTAATAAATAAATGAAAATAAAATGTGCTTGGTTAGCAGTTCAGGATTTTTGTATTTGAATGACATTAGAAACAATATTTGCAATGCTGACAAATCAATAGGAACTATCATCTAAAATTAACTCTCATCTCTTTGGCATGATACCTTCATTAAACACCCTATTCTCTATATAAAACCGCCAACCCGTATAAAGAATCTTAAGCTTACCAAAAAAAGCATTGAAAGGCCTATGTTTAAGCCATATAAATTTATCAGATCTCAGTGTTTATTACTATGTTTCTCCAGATTTTAAACTTTTAAGTCCAAAGCAATCTTTGCTGGATGATGTACTGAACTTAATTATGTACCAGTGTTTGTAAAGATTTGTCATTAACTCTGCCCATTATAAGAACACAGTAGTCATAGGTACCAGCTTCTATGAGACTATATTTAATTTTATTAATATAATACTTTTCTTAATAATAATATTTTTATTAATATCCAAAATAAATCATTTCTACTGTTCTGTCAATCATTATAAAACTACTATGGTTGTATTGAAATTTTCATTATACTACAAATAAACAATTGTATGATTGTTCTGTGCTTTCAATTGACATAAATCATAAAGCAAATTATTAAACTTTTAAAAGTTATTCTATAAAGTTACAGCTCTATATCTTAAACATGTTGACCAGCAGTATTTTCAGATGATTCATGTTTACAACTGGTTAGCTCTCTTTGGAATAATAATTTCTATTATAGTTAACAGAACTTTTTCATAATCTGTAATATTTTGATTTTTCAGGCAATATTTTCACTAAATACAAAACTAAATTTCATGGCAGCATTATATTTGTGTTAAAATACTGATATTGTATTCATTTTTCTATTTATTAAGTTTTTCATCCTGTGTATTTTCTACATAGCAGGCAAGGATTGTATCTTTTTTACAGAGTAGTGTCTTAACATTGTCAAATGAGAAATATTTCCACATGTAAAAGTATTTGAAAGATATATGTCACTTATAAAAGACACTGATAAAATGAATATTTGCACACTCATAACCAGGCCAAGGGTTAACACAAGTGATTAATCTTGACAGAGGTGTTAACTTTTTCAAAGTGTTAATTTCTGGCCTTTTTATCTATCTCTAGTATTTTTTATTTCAAAATATTAAGGAGTTACAAATATTTTTGTTACATGGAGTGTACTCAAGGATCCAGAAGGCCACATGTGGCCTCAAGGCCATAGGTTCCCCACTAGGCTAATGTCTAAAAAAGTGTTCCCTACATTTTCTTCTAGAACGTTTATGTTTTCATGCCTTACTTACATTTAAGTCTTTTATCCATCTTGAATTAATTTTTGTATATGGCAAGAGATAAATGCCCTGTTTCATTCTTCTGCATGTGGCTATACAGGTTTCCTAGAACCATTTATTGAATGGGGTTCATTTTCTTTAGCATAGGTTTTTGTGTGCTTTGTCAAAGATTGTTGGTTGTAGGTAGATGGTTTTATTTCTGAGTTCTCTATTGTGTCCCATTGTTCTATGTGTCTACTTTTATACCAGCCCCATGCTGTTTTGGTTTCTACAGACTTATAGTAAAGTCAGATAATGTGATGCCTATAGATTTCTTCTTTTTGCTTACGACTGCTGTGGTTATTTGGGCTCTTTTTTTTAATTCCAACTGAGGCTTAAGTTATTTTTTATAGATATGTAAAATATGACATTGGTATTTTAATGGAGATTATGTTGAATCTGTAAATCACTGTGGGAAGTATGGGTATTTTAACAATGTTGATTCTACCAATCCACGAGCATGAGATATTTTTCCATTTGTGTCATCTACGATTTGCTTTATTAGTGTTTTGTATTTCTCCTTGTAGAGATCTTTCACCTCCTTGATTGAGTATATACCTAGATATTTTATTTTCTTTGTAGCTATTGGTAAGGGTATTGAGTCTTTGATTTGATTCTCAACTTGCCTGTTTTACAGTATATAGAAATGTACTGGTTTGTGTACATTCATTTTGTAACCTGAGACTTGAGAACTTAGTAGTTTTTACTATTACAAAATATTTACACTTGTCTCCTGTAATACTATCTGATCAGAATTCTGTGTTATCAAATATCAATATCAATTGCTGTATTTACTATTCATTTGCCTAGTATTTATTGGCCCATTACTTAATTTTTAATTTTATACATCACTTTGTATATTACATACAATACATTGTTAGATTTCACTTTATTAGTAAGACTAAAAACTACTATAGATGATTTTAGTCCATTTACAATTACAAATAAAACTGATACATTCTAAATTTTATTATATTTTTTATATTTAAATACTTTTATACATTTGCATTATGTGGATTATTTATTGTCCTTTTTAATATTTATGAAGGTTTGTTACAATGATCACTCACATACTAATAACTTATTCCTTTCCTTTTTAGATACTGTGTATTTGATCCATATTATGAACAATATCAAAGTTATATAAGAAGCTTTTCTTGCCCTTCCATTCCATTTTCCTAACATTTAATTTAGAGGAATACTTATTATACTTTGTATATACTCTCCTATTCCCAGCCCAACACTACACTTTTGATAATAGTACTATATCAGTATTGTTAGAGCATAAGAAAATAAGCCTTTTAGTCTAGTATCCTTTCCCCATGCTTTAATATTAGTTAAAAAGCTAATGTATTCAAGGTTCACTGCCAGTATTTATGCTAAATTTCTCTCATCATCTTCGTTGGACTATATACATTTTTTCATGGATTCAGCAGGAAGAGATCAAAGGGACCATATTCTCTCAGTTATTGAATGTTTATAACAATTTTCTGTGGCATATATACTTTAATGGTAGTCTTATTGGTAAATTCCTTGGCTCACATTTTCTATTTTTTGTTTGTTTGTTTATGTATCTTAAATGTGTTACTCAAATGTCATATGGCATCAAATAATGTCAATCTTATTATCATCTTTTTATAATCAACTTGTTTTTCTTGCCTGGATTCCAAAGGATTTTTTATATTTCTTTAAATTTCAAATTTTTTATTAGAATACAACATAAAAATTTTGGAAATACAGAAAATATACCTAGTAGTAAAACATGACTGTTTTCATTTGCATATATTACCTTTTATGCATACACATGTACTTATATAAATGCATTTTAATTCTAATTTTTAAGTTTAAATTATATCCATTTTGCCACTTGATAATTACATTTTATCGAATAATTGTGCTCAATCTTCTTTATCATAATTTAAATGCCTATTCTATTTTGGCACATATTCTGTTATAAGTGATATTGTATTTTACTTTATAAATTTGAGCTATAATTCACGTACCATAAAATTTACCTTTTGATATTTTACAATTCAGCATTTTTAATACAAGCACAAGATTGTACAGCCATTACCACTACCTAATTCTAGAACATTTTCATATCTCCCAAAAGAAACCCTATTCTATTAGCAATAGCTTCCATTCCTTCTGTACCCAGCCTCTGGCAACCACAAATCTATTTTCTTTCTCTATGGATTTCCTTATTCTAGACATTTCATATAAATTAATTCATATAATATTTGATTTTGTGTATCTGTCTTATTTTAAACTAGAGTAATGTTGTCATGGTTCACCCATGCTGTAAAATGTATCAGTATTTCATTCCTTTTTATGGCTGAATAATATTTTACTTTATGAATATTCCACATATTTTTATACATTCATTATTAGATAGATATTGAGATTGCTACTATTTTGGGACTATTATGAATAATGCTACCATGAATATTTGAATACAAGTTTTTTTGTGGGCATGTGTTTTTTGGTTATGTACTTAGGAATGGAATTGCTAAGTCATTTTGTAACTCAATGTTTAATTTTCTTAGTAATTGCCAAACTGATTTCCACAGAAACAACAAAAGTTTACATTCTAAATAGCAATATATGAGGGCTTCAATTTATCCACATCCCTGCCAATACTAGTAATATTCTGCTGGGTTTTTTTTTAACTTTATGATTATATCGGCATCTCATTATAGTTTTAATTTGCATTTCCCTGATGGCCAATGATGATGAGCATCTGTAGAGAGGAGGTCAAAATAGCAACATTAACAGAAGTTTGGAAGAAGTTTATTCAATCAGCTTCTCATGGATGATTAGGAGAGGTTTGAGACTTCAGTGGAGGAAGGAACTGCAGAAATGGTGGAAATAGCAAGAAAACCAGAGTTAAAAGTGAAGCCTAAAGATGTGACTTAATTCCTGCAATCTCATGATAAAATTTTCACGGATGAGAAGTTGCTTTTTAGGGATGAGCATAGAAAGTGGTTTCTTGAAATGGAAATTACTCCTGGTGAAGGTGCTGTGAACATTGTTGAAATGACTACAACATATTTAGCATATTATATAAACTTAATTCATAAAGCAGTGGCAGGGTTTGAGAGGGTTGGCTCCAATTTAGGAAACAGTTCTACTGTTGTTAAAATGCTATTAAACAGTATCACATGTTACAAAGAAATCTTTTGTGAAAGGAAGAGTGTGAATTGATTCAGCAAACTTTATTGTCTATTTTCAGAAATTGCCACAGCTGCCCCAACCCTCAACAACCACCACTACTGTGATTAGTCAGCAGACATCAACATGCAGGCAAGACCCTCCACCAGCAGAGAAATTACCATTCACTGAAGTCTCAGATGATTGCTAGCATTTATTGGCAATAAAGTATTTTAAATTAAGTTATATACATTTTTAGAAATAACATTATTGCACACTTAGTAGGCTACAGTATAGTGTACACATAACTTTTATATAAACTTAGAAACCAAAATATTTGTGTACTCATTTCATTGTGATACTCACTTTATTGTGATTGTGTGGAATTAAACTTGGAATATCTCCGAGGTATGCCTGTATTTTTAGTGTGATCATTATTTCACTCAAATGTATTCCCATATTCATTCATTTATTCTGTCATTCCTTCAACAAATATGTGTCAACAACCACTATGTCTGGGGCCTTTTACTAGGTGCCAAATTTACCATCGCTATAAAATAGCCTGTCCTAATGAAACTTGTGTGAAAGGAGAGAGACGTCAAAACTAATGTTGGTTATTTAGGAAAAGCATTATGAATACTGAGCTTTGATATATTCTATTTCTGCATTTGATATATTGACTTATTATTAAAACAATTATTTTATAAGCTTTGATTTTATAGTTTGAATTTAAATTCATTTTTTAAAGATTTCTTTGAGCTATCTAAAATATGTATAAAGTTGTTTTCTGATGTCTTACTTTGCAGTTTAATTTATTCTCAAATGTCTTGTTTTTGTAGAGAAGCAACTATTTCTTATCTCTTTATTGATCTACACAATGGTTTCTTGCAACAGCCTTTAAATGTATCCTTAAAATATTAGATATATTCAAATATTTATAAGATTATGCCATCTCTCCTCTACAAATGCATACACATATCTGCCATCATTTTCAGATATTTTTGATATTATTGCCCATTTTTAAAATTTAAAAATAATTATTGAGTTACAAATTAAACGGTCTTAATATTTTTATATAAGTTTTTAGATTGCAAAATCAAGTACTTTTATAATAGTTTATGTTACTAATGTGGAGCATAATTTATATTCTTGTTTAAACATTTTTATGTTCTAGTAATACCTTATACCATTACCAATTTGTTGTTTTAATCTAGAGATAATTATTAAATGTGTTCCTACATAGTTTGCAGTTTTGTGACTGTAATAATGTTTTTTTGATACATTTTTATTTTTTTGGTACTGACAACGCTGTTTATTCCTTTTACACAATCAAGATAGATTATTGATATAACATTGTAAACTTTAATCAATCATTTTGATTTTGTGGTGATTTTCTAGAAATAGAGTTATTCTATATGTAAATAATTTTATTTATCTCTCTTCATGTATCACTTTTTTATAGTGCAACTCTAATGATGAACTGGGCTATATCAGAAGGCATATCTTGCCATACTCTTAGATTTTAAAAATCCATGTATAACATAACCTTGGAAATTAGAGTTACTCTTTATTAAAGTTCTCGTAAAAGCATTAATTAGAGGAATCACAAAGAAACTCCTATTAAAATTATTAATGCATTTATCATCTCAGAATGTCACTGAAGATAACTTCCCATTCTCCTGTTTTCTGTCACTCTTCCAGAGAAACACCACTCAAACTTTGTCTGTCTTTTCTATCTATGCTCTCTGTCCTTTCTTCTTAGCCTGTATCTCTTTCTTCTGAAGCTGTTTTCCCCCCTAACCCTTACCTGTGCAATATATGGCAGGATAATTGACTCAGGAAGCAAATGTTTTATTTTATTTCATTTTGCTTTTTATAGATGGAGCATGTTTCAAAGCAAAGGCTCTCAGAGTGGCAGCACGGTCAAGGACATATGGAGGTATCCAAATATAACCACCTCTATAATTTTCATCTCTCTCTTTTTTTTTTCTTGTCACATATTTATTTTCTTTTCAACATATTCTAAGAATGAAACAATTTCAGTCATTCTTGTATCTATAATGTTCTATCAGTGAGTATAACCTTAACTTTTCTTTAAAAAATACTTATCTGTTGGTAGTTTATGTTATATATCCTGTTTCCTTTGTTCCCTTTATGATTTTGAATAATGTGTACTGATAGGAGAGTGAACAAACTTATATGTACTTTTTAAATAAATGATTATGAGGAAACTTCTGTGTCAGTGTCACTGCCACTTAGGCCATGTATAGAGGCCTGAGAAGGCCCTCCCACACCCTCCTGATCGATACTTTATGCCATCCAATATCTGGACCTTTGTGATACTAATTTCCTTGGTTTTCTTCTTAATTTTAACTGTAGTATTACATACATATACATCCCTGAAGATATACTTTAGTTTTGAATATTTATTAATTGAAATTATGTTGCATTAATATTTGTGTGTGACTGCCTCTGTTCAACATTATTTATTATCTTCATGTTTCTTGTGGCTTTCATTTGGTCAATGTTATTTGTGAGTTTCATCCATTTTGTTTGTACCATTATACAATAATATTAAATACTATGGAGCCATTCCATTTCTATCCTTTCTTCTGTTGAAGGACATTTAAGTTACTTCTAATTTTTGGTTATTTTGGACAGTGCTCCTAGAAACATCCTTGCATGTACATCCTGTGTGAGTTTTTCCAAGGTTTACTTTATCAGCAGAACTGATAGGTGCATGGTATGTCTATTGTTGGTTTTATTAGATAATGCCAAATTATTTTCCCAAAGTAATTATAAGAGTATGACTTTACAGAGCCATAGCAGTATAGAAATGTTCTAATACTATTAGATGTTGCTTCATTTTCTTGCTACCACTTGATATTATTATTAAATTTTTTAATTGATATTAAATTATTGGCAATCTCCACACTATGAAACAATATCTAATTGTGATTTTAATTTGAATTTTGTTGACTACTAATGAAATTAAAACTTTCCCATATGCTTTTGGGTATTTTCATTTCTACTTTTACAAATTGACTATATCTTTTCTCTAATTTTCTAGTGAGTCATTGTCTTTTTTTACAGTGATTTGTAGGAGTTCCTTATGTAATGTGAATACTTGTTCTAAGTCAGTCATTCATATAGCTAATATTTTCTTACACTCATGCCTTATAGTTCCCGTCTATTTATATTGCTTTTTGATGGACCAAAGTTCTTAGTTTTTTAAGTCAAAGCTTTTTACATATTATTTAAGGAATCCCTGCTCTGAGGTCAAGCAGATATTCATCCAAATTATCTTCTAAACATCTTGGAGTTTTGACTTTCACATTTAGGTTTTCAATCCATCTGGAATTGATTTTTATGTGTTATTTGAGCTGTGGTGCCCACTTTTCTTTTGTGTTTTATTACTTTGACTATGTACTGCTTATTGCACTTGAAAAATTATTTGTGGGTATTCCATGAACCTTAAGATACAGATGGCTTCTTCCAGAGTGTATTTGCTTTTGCATGTGCCAGGAACATGGAGCAATACCAATATGGTGCAAACTTAAAACAAATTCATGCATTGAGGTGTCCATGAAATGTCCAATGATGAAAACCCAATCTGCAAATTTAAGTGAGGAGTAGCCAAAGTTTTAATGTCACAAAGATGAGGTCTTTTGCTTTTTGTTTGTTTTTTTGTTTTTATACTTAGCATATACTCAACATAGAGAAAATTTCTCTATAATTCTTTGAGTTCTGATAGAAGTTGTTGAGGTCATTATTTCTGGTTTACATTTACTCTGAGGCTGTAGACATTTGCTATCCAACCTTAAAGTGAATTTTACATTTAATTGGGAGCTAAAAGGTCTAACTTTTTGTGCCATAGGCCATTTGAAGCCTGTTGAAACTTATACTCCCTGGCTTGAATGTAATATTTTTCAATGTATTATTTTTAAAAGTCCAGAATATTTTGAAAATAAAGTAAAATTTTTTTTCCCATCTTAAATTCTTAATTCTGTCTGTGTAACGCTGGTTGCAAACTCATGAGACTAAGTTTGGCTGATTATTTTCTGACACTTATAAGTCATCAAACCCAGTCCAAATTCTCTGGAAATTGCAAATGACCTTTGTGTAAAATGTCAATTTTATGGTCTGTGTTCCACTTAAAACTCTAGGTTTCTAGTCTCCTTTAGATTTTGTCCTAGTAGTTTCTAACTATCTTGTTCAGTTTTAAATATCTATGTATCTATTTCTCTATTTAAATCTATGTATCCAGCCTTTTTTAGTTATTTTCAGTAGAAAAGTGAATCTGATAAGCCTATCCTGCCATTCCCAGAAATGTAAGTTCTATACACCATTATTTTATATTGAATTATGTATATATTATGAGAATAATTTTTCTGGCTTATAAAATTTAACAATTATAATCCCCTTCTGAATTCTATGTCTTCCCAAAATTGAGAGGTAATGTGCTTTAGTACATATTTCTCAAGGAGTGTCCTGTTGAATATATTAATGTAGTCCAAGATATACTTAAGAAAAAAATGATTCTGAGGCAAAATAAAATGAGAAATTCTATGCAATTTTCTGTTTCTTGAAGATTTTTGATGATGATTACCATATTGAAAGCTCTAAAAACTCTGCTAAACAATATGCAGTTAGAGCATAAAACCACTTTTCTTTCTGTACTTGTAATAATCTCATGGAATTTCATATTTTACACACAATTTTGAAGAGAGCGAGTGTAGTTTAAAAGACTTTGGAACTAGATGCAGACTTTAAGTCATAGTTCCATCAGTTACTAACTCTGTGAACCTGCTTTTGTTCACTACCTTTCTGGCACATTTTATTCATCTGTAAAATAGAAATTAATATGCATTATCATAAAGACTAGATAAATTAATATAATAAAATCAAAATCATGTATATGTTTAGTAAATGTTAATCTCATTTTGAGATTTTTCCACCTTCATTGGTTTAATAAATTATGACAAATTTATACTATGAGATGCTATAAAACTGATATTTTATGAAATATAAGATACATTTTGTTGTAAGTTCACCATTATTTTATAAACTGTTAAGAAATAAAAAACTATCAGTTAAACTATGCTGTACCAATCTTGAATTTTAAGATTCATCCTGATTTGACTGAACTTAGCATGTGGAAAACTATTATTCTAACAACTCAAAATATGAAGTTGAATATGAAATATGATTTTAAAATTGATAAGGAATTTTTCTGTGTTCTAAAAATTAAAAAATATATGTATATGTTTGTATATACATATATGCATATACATGTACATATGAGTATGTATATTGCACATATATTTTGTATATATGCACATACACATACATATACACACATGAATATATATATATGTACATATGAAATTTGCCCATAGGGATAAAGTATCTGAGAGGACACACAGGAAAATTATAACATTGGTTACCTACTGAAAGGAAAACTGGATTAACGTGGGGCAAGAATAGAATGGAGACTTTTTAAATGACTGATGCATTAATTTTCTTTTAAGTTTTCAAATTGTTATAATACATTTCTATGGTGTATGAAATTCTGTTGATTATGTATTATTTGCACTTAACTTTTCCAGTTTTTAAAAATCTTTTTAAAGAATTGTGCCTTAGGAATATTTTCTATTACAAATCTGACTCTCCCATGTCAGTGGCTAATTTGCACAAGGGTTCGATTATGGAAACCATTTTCTTTTAAGACTTTGAACATTCCACAAAACTTTTGCATTGGAGACTCCCCAAGTCACTGGTTGAGGAACTGAATGTGAGAATCGAAGTCATCAAGATCTGGGCGTGTTTTGGGAGTGTCTGTCTAATCTGAAGGTTAAAGTTCAAAGATAATAATGAGGTCTAAATTATGGCAAAAGCTCATATTATCACCACAGAGTCTGAAGGAAGAGACTCTAGAAGGGGACTGCAGTTGTGGTTATAAAGCAAAAAGTTCAGCAGCTGGAAAGTGGGGTATTTGCTTCTAATATTATCTAATGTTTAACATGTATTCTATGCTGGCATTTATGAACAGGCCTAGATGTGGTAGGCTGGCTGGCTTACCAGCAGACATTTACTTACACTTTTAGAATTATTTTCTTCCTATGTTTCCTTTAATGTGTTTGCACACACATTTATATTTTCATCGTTTACACCAGTATTTTAAGTATGTTATTTATCTACTATTAAACATTTAAATTCTGAATGTATTTCTATGTTTTGAACATATCAAAAAGGTTTTCTTACAAAGTGTTTTTATTTTCTAATACATATTTTTTGTTATATGAAATTATTCCTTGGCACATTTGTTATTTGGAAATGTACATTAAATTTTCGAATACCTTTGAATTAATTTTTTATGTGACTAATTACTAATTGTACAATAAATTGATTAGGTAATGCCACTAATATTTTGAGTTATTAGATTGTTGATTAAGATACCTTCACTCTGAGATGTGCACCATCTGGGGGATGGTCATGCTGGAGACTCAGACTTGTGGGGGGAGAGGGGGAAATGGGCATTTATTGAAACCTTAAAATCTGTACCCCCATAATATGCTGAAATAAAAAAAAAATCTTTTAAAAAAAAAGATACCTTCACTCTAAATAAAGTTTTATTACCTTTAAAATGATATACTTGGTATCATTTTGGGATTTATAATATGTATATTGATTTTTCCTTATTATATTCTTTATAGTCCATATATTGTTTAGTTATTCTGAACTGCATATGCCATAGATAAATGATGGTGAATAAATTGTCTCCCTACATTTTTCTCTAAATCTCTCTTCATGTTAAAAAAATATTGTTTGTTCTAATATAATAAGCTGTTTTGTTACACATACACCAATAATTTTTCATTATTAACTATACTTCAGTTGTAAGATAATAACTCTCTATATTATTGTGCTTAAGTTCTAGATTTTTTTATTAATATGTCACATCAAGTTTTCTTTTTCAGAAAAAAAATTACATGCAGTTTGTTTACATTTTTGTATAATTTTATATTTGGTTTCTTTGGATAAACATAGATCATTTTTATATTATAATAGTTATTTGATTAGCACTATCTTTTGTCATTTTCATACTTTTTCAACACTTTTTGTCATTGCCTATTTTTGCCATAAATTTACTTTTGCTTTATTTCATTCTTTAGTCTGTTGGGGAATATAAATATACTATTTATAATGGTTAGTATTTATTAATATAAGATATTCTACAAGCACTTAAATCTGATATGTATGTATGTATAATCTGTCAAAATATTTTAATGCCTTTAAAGTAAAACAATATATTTTATTTGACAGTATATATAGAGAGAAATGCTCATCTGAAATTTATAATTTAATGCATTTTTATAATACACATGCATGTGACCACTACATTATCTAGCCAAAAATATTTCCATTATCCCAGAAAGTTTCCCATGAACATGGACAGCCATTATTTTTATTTATATCACCATATCTTAGTTTTATCTTTTCTTATAGCCCATGGTAATGGAATTATACAATATCTACTATTTTTTTATCTGGCTTTCTTTGTGCAGCATGTTTTTGAGATTCACCAATGTTACTTCATGAATTGATAGCTCATTCTTTTTACTGGTCAGCATTATATTATTGCATGACTAAAGAGTGCTTTTTAAAATCTATTTTTCTAATGATGGACATTTGGGTTGTTTCTAGTTTTTACTATTATGAATAAAGCTACCATAAATGTTCTGGAATAGTATTTTTGTGGACTTATACTTTCATTTCTCTTGGGTAAAAATTTGAGAATGCAGTTGCTGCCTTTTGTGTAGATATGTATAACTTTATAAAAGACTGTCAAACAAATAATAATGTATTCTTATGTTGGAGAATTTTGAAATATTCAGAGATTGTGAAATAAAATAAAAACTTTCCCCTCTCTCTGTACATTTCCTCCTTCCAAAAATAACCCATTCTAACAGTTTCTTAATCTAGAAATTTTACATGTCCATAAATATCTCTCAATCTCTGCATACAACTCCTTTTTAAAACCGATTACAAAGTTTACATACAAATCTCTGCCTTGATAGTTTTTACTTAGTATATCTTGGACAACATTCTGTATCAGTACATAATGATTAATCTCTTGGCTTTTAATAGCTTCATGATACTTTGAGTGCTTCTTCTGAGAGTTAAGCCCCTTCAAGAACACAGAGAAAACATCTAAAGATTTCCTACTGTGGGGTTTGATTAATAATTGTTTTAATAATTGTTAATAATTTTTTAATAATTGTTAATATTGTTTAATAATTGTTAATAATAATTTTTCAAGGAGAATACTTTCCCAACATAGTTTTGTACTTTGTGTTGCTTACTTAAAAAATTTATATAAACAGCTCACTAATTTTTTTTTTCTTTTTAAAAGACCATGCACAGGGGTTGGTTCTATTTGGTCCCCCGAAGGAAGCTGTTGAAATTTTTCAAGAAAGTGAAATGACAAATACTGAAGGTGAGGACTGAATGTAAATTGTATAGTAAACTACATGAGCTCTATTCATATTTACTTATTAGTTTGTGATGACAATACTCTATATTTATTAAGAAATAAATTCTACATATTATTAAGAGTTAATATAGTAATGATATATAATATTAAATATAGTGTAATAAATTATATCAATAATATATTATGAATATATGGCTTTAGTTTATAAGAGTTGTCATACAATTTCAGAAATTTTTTTGATACTGAAGAAAAAAATACTCTTCCCTCTAAGGAAACTATCCAGCAGGAGAAAGAGGGTGTTCAAACATCGTAAAATGGAGATCTCTTCCCGAGAGCAAATTTCAACACTGCCTGAGAGTCTTGGTTTTAGTCTTGTTTTTTGTAAACCTATGTCTTTGTAGAGATTTTAGGCATCTTGTGATGTCTTCTAACCTATATTCCCTGGCTAAGAGCTCAGGGGTAGCCAATGTTCCTTTAAGTTCACTTTTAAACTTTATCAATTTTAAACTTTATCAATAAACTTTCACTTTCAAACAGTATCAATTTTCAGAAATTTTAAAGTAAATATATATACACATATAGACGCATATGTATATTTTATCACTCAAGCTAGGATTGGCAGGTGCTAGATAAAACCTTTCCAGTTCATTGGGGATAATTTTCTTAGAAGAACAAAGAAGAAGAACTAATGCTTTGGGGGTATGAAATCTAGAATTACAAATTACACAGTGACAATCTGTAAACACTATCTCTAAAAGTGTTTCTAACATTGTATGTGGAAAGAGATGGAAAGAGATGAGGAAATGTATACATTTATCTATAGAGGTTCATAATTATTTCTTCTCAGACCGTTGTGGTAGAGAATTCTTTATGTTTACCAAAAATATTTTAATCTTGATTTTGGAAATTTCTGCTGTTGTGGGGATTTTCAGTTTCACAGGATTAAATTGGAACAACTTACCATTATGATTCTTTCATCTGTTTCTGTCCAATAGAATTTTTGAGGAAAATGTTAAGATTTTGTTGGTTTAGAGTTTCTAGCCCATAGTTAGTTATAGGCCATAGTGAGTTCTAGACAGATTTTTCAAGTATCAAATGAATGAATTATGAACCAGTTAATTCAAGACATTGGAATATCCATGTGCTATTAGGCTATGAAGATGTTTAAGAAATTATCCTAAGAAATGTGTAATCTTGTAAGCCAAGTAAAATATAAATATATGCAATAATTTGTGTGATACAATGGAAAAGAATGGTTATATAGTGTGACAGCAGAAATGACACAGGGCAATACATGCCAATTGTATACCATGGATGAGAAGTATCTTTTTTTTTTTTATTTCGGCATATTATGGGGGTACAGATTTTAAGGTTTCAATAAATGCCCATTTCCCCCCTCCCCCCAAAAGGCTGAGTCTCTATCATGACCATCCCCCAGATGGTGGACATCTCACTCATTATGTATGTATATACCCGCCCCCCTCCCACCTGCCCAATACCCTATTATGTAACTATTGTACTGTACGTGTATCAGTTAATACCAGTTTGCTGGAGAATATATCTGGTGCTTGTTTTTCCATTCTTGGGATACTTCACTTAGTAGTATGGGTTCCAGCTCTAACCAGGAAAATATAAGATGTGCTATACACCATTGTTTCTTAGAGCTGAATAGTACTCCATGGTACACATATACCACATTTTATTAATCCATTCTTGGATTGGTGGGCACTTGGGCTGTTTCCACAGTCTTAATTATGAATTGTGCTGCTATAAACATTCAAGTGCAGGTGTCTTTTTGTAGAGTGTCATTGGTTATTTGGGTAGATGCCCAGCAATGGGATTGCTGGATCAAATGGTAGATCCTCTTGTAAGCTTTAAGGTATTCCATATTGCTTTCCAGAGGTTGAACTAGTTTGCAGTCCACCAGCAGTGTAGGGTGTTCCTCTCTCTCCGAACACAGCCATTATTGTTTGGAGATTTTTTGATAAAGGCATTCTCCTGGGGTTAAGTGATATCTCATTGTGTTTTGATTTGCATTTCCTGATGATTAAGATGTTGAGCATTTCATATGTTTGTTGGCCATTCTTCTGTCTTCTTTAGAAAAGTTTCTTTCAGTTTTGCACTTTTTAATGGGTTATTTGATTTTTTTTCTGATGTTTTCTGAGTTCTAAGTATATTCTAGTTATCAGTCCCTTATTGGATGCATAGGATGCAAACATTTTCTCCCATTCTGTAGGTTGTCTGTTTGTTTTCATGATTATTTTTGGCTGTGCAGAAGTTTTGTAGTTTGATCATGTCCCATTTGTTTTTTTTTTTGTTGCTGTGATTGCTTTGGGGACTTCTTCATAAACTCTTTGCCCAGGCGATGTCTAGGAGAGTGTTTCCACTTTTTCCTCTAGAGTTCTAATAGTTCATACCTTAGGTTTAAGTTTTATCCAGCGTGAGTTGGTTTTGTGAGAGGTGAAAGGTGTGGGTCCTGTTTTAGCTTCTACAGGTGGCTATCCAGTTTTCCCAGCACATTTATTGAAGAGGGATTCTTTTCCCCAGCGTATGTTTTTGTCTGCTTGTCAAAGATTAGATGGCTATATGAGGATGGTTTATATCAGATTCTCACATCTGTTCCACTGGTCAATATTCCTGTTTTGTGCCAATACCATATTGATTTAATTATACAGTTTGTAGTATAGTTTGATATCTGGCATATTAATGCCTCCCATTTTGTTTCTGTTGCCTAGAATTGCTTTGATATTCGGGTCTTCTTTGGTTCCATACGAAGCGTAAATTATTTTTTCTATATCTGTGAAGAATGCTGATGGGATTTTAATAGGTATTGCATTGAATCTGTAGATCAGTTTGGGTAGTATAGACATTTTGATGATATTGAGTCTGCGATCCCGAGCATGTATGGACTTCCTCTGTTTACATCCTCTGCTATTCCTTCCTCAGTGTTTCATAGTTCTCCCTGTAGAGGTCTTTTACTCTTGGTTAAGTATATTCCTAGGTACTTTAATTTCTTTGTTGCTATTGTGAAGGGAATTGAGTCTTTGATTGGTTTCAATGAGATTGTTGTTGGCGTTATTGAATGCCTCTGATTTTCTGTGTATTGATTTGTATCCTGAGACTTTACTAAATCATTGATCAGTTAGGAGTTTCTTGGTTGAATCTTTGAGTGTTCTAGATACTCATATCATCAGCAACAGTGAAGTTTGATCTCTTCTGCCCCTATTTGGATACTTTGATTCCCTTTTCCTGTCTGATTGCTGTAGCCAGACTTCCAGTACTATGTTGAACAGAAGTGGAGATAGTGGGAGCCTTGTCTGGTTCCAGTTCTAAGTGGGGATGATTTCAATTTTCCCATTCAGTATGATGTTGGCTATGGGTCTGTCATATATGGCTTGTATCATTTTAGGTATGTCCCTTCTATGCTATTTTCTTAAGTGTTCGTATCATGAAAGGGTGTTGAATTTGTCAAAGGTTTTTCTGCATCTATTGAAAGAATCATGTGTCTTTGTTTTTGCTTCTGTTTATGTGGTGAATTGCATTTATAGATTTACGTATGTTGAACCTCCTGCATCCTGGGATGAAGCCCACTTGGTCATGGTGGATTATTTTTTTGATAAGTGTCTGGATTCGGTTAGCTAAGATTTTGTTGAATTTTGCATCTATATTCATTAGGGATATTGGTCTGTAGTTTTCTTTTTTGTTGCATCCTTTCTGGTTTTGGTATCAGAGTAATATTCGCTTTATAAAAGGTGTCGGGAGGTTTCGTTTTCTCGATGTTGTGGAATAGTTCTGCAAGATAGGTACTAGTTCTTCTTGTAAGTATGTAAAAATTCAGTGGTGTGAAGCCATCTGGACGGACTTTCTTTTTAGGGAGATTTTTAATTGCTGTTCTATTTCAGCTGTTGAGATTGGTCTGTTCAGGGATCTATTTCTTCCTGGTTGAGCCTAGGGAGTGTGTGTTTCTAGAGAATTTGTCCATTTCCTCAATTCAGTTTGTGTGTATAAGATTTTGTAGTATTTATAAATTGTATCTTGTATCTCTTTTGGATCAGTTGTGATATCTCCTTTTTTGTTCCTGATGGAGCTTATTGAGAATTTTTTTGTTTGCTTCGTTAGCTTAGCGTGGTGTGTCAATTTTGTTTATTTTTTCAAAGAACACTTTTTGTTTATTAATCTCCTGAATGCTTCCCTGTTTAATTTCGTTTAGTTCTGATTTGATTTTGTTGATTTCACTTCTTCTGCTGGTTTGGGGTTGTTGTTTCTTTTCCAGCTCTTTGAGTCGTTTCATTAGAATGGTCTATTTTTGATCTTTTTGTCTTTTGGTTATAGATTTATGGAGATAAATTTCTCAGAATGCTTTAGCTGTTCCAGAGGAGTTGTAAATTGTCTCTCCTATTTAGTAGGAGGTTGTTTAATTTCCACGTTTTTGTGTAGAAATGTGAGTTTCTGTTAGGGTTGATTTCTAGTTTTATTCCACTGTGATCTGAGAGGTACATGGTATGATTTCTTTTTTTTAAATTTCTTGAGTTTTCTTTGTGTCCTAGGATTGGTCAATCTTAGAGAATGTCCCAGTGAGCTGATGTAAAGCGATTATCAGTGGATTTTGTAGAATGTTGTAAATGTCAGTCAGAACCCATTGTTCTAGGTTTTGTTTAAGTCCATTATTTCTTTATTAATTTTCTGTTTGGAGGATCGCTGTCTCGTGCCGTAGTGGGTGTTGAAATCCGGCGATTATGGAGTTGCTATTAATCCTTTGCTTAGTCCAGTAAAGTTTGCTTTATGTAACTGGGTGCACCTAAGTTGGTGCTATATATTTAAATTTTTATCTCTTCTTGTTGAACTGTGCCCTTCACCAATTATAATGACCCTCTTTGTTTCATACTTTTTGTTCTTAAAAATTTAAATCGTCTGAGGGCACGTTCAACAAGAAGAGATAAAATTTTAAATATTATGACCAATTAGGTGACCCAGTTTATAAGCAAACTTTACTGGAGTAAGCA